ACTGCATCAGGTAATGATAATTACTTTTAAGGAAGTAAATGAGAGCTATCGTTTTAATGTAGTATTAATTATTTTACTGAAAATGGGGGAAGGGAATGTCATCTCCTAATTTTTAGAAGACGGAATGAGAATTTTAAAGACATCGGTAATTTGGCATTGTCTTCATCTGTTCTTCAGCATGTTTCTCAACTCATTGGTGTGTTATTTCTTGAACCTAAACAAGGTGTTTACAAAGCACAGAGCCAAGGAGCTATGGAGGCCGAGCTGACTCCTACCCTGCCTCAGGCAGCATCAGTGGACCTGCCAGATGCACCGTTACTCCTGGGTCCTAGTGTCGGAGAGGGCTGATGACACACAAAACAGAAAGCACAACTTGCCTTCTGGTCATCAGGCTAAGCTCATCAGTGTTGGCAGCAGAAAAACCCTGCACAGTCTTGTGAAGCTGGCAATCTTGTGGCACTCAGTAGGGTGATGTGCAACATGGGAATGTCATTTTCACTGAGATCTCTTCCCTGGTCACACCAGACTTAAAACTACTAAGAACATAAAACTACTTTCAATGTAGCCATTCAACAGAAAGTGAGAGTGATACCCAGTGGGTTAGAAATGAGTGAGGTACTCATTTCTTCATACCATTTACATTTACTGGAAGATGACAGAAGATGGGGGTCACTTAAAACACCTTCTCTTCCAGTGGTGGCTCAATTTCCTGAGCGACAAGGTTTTAGCAAAGGTAATCTGTTTTAATCTACTGTGATTCATTGGCTATTTACAACATTAGTCTTAACTATGTAGAGTTGGGGGGTTACTGGCTGTATTTGATAAATATAAATTATCTAGTCTTAGATGGGAGTCTTCTGGGTGATGGAGAACACGCAACTTCTTGAAACAAAGAATGTTTTATAACATACTTTGCAGTGTGCATGGAGTTATTTTTGAAAGCTATTTTAATTATGAGATTTAAAAAGACTTGTCATGTATGTCTAGACAATGCATTTTTAAAAATCTGACATAACCAAGTACTTTTATAATATGCCAATGGGCCTTTGTGAATTAATATTAGTTTACACGATATTTTTATAGTACTCTGGATTATTAAGTAAATATATAAACACAAAAGCCACACACAAACTTAAAATAGGCATTTGCTTTTTTAATTGTTTATTTTGTATCCATCCCTCTGTCTCTGTTTCTACCAATCTACAGCCAGTTAATAACATAACACTCATATAGATTGCAACTTTCAGAAAACCAGAATTATTTATCTACCATGTAGAAACTTACTTTAATAAGATGATGATGAGAATCCTAATTACTCTTGGGAGAGCTCCTTAATTTATTCGCTCAATAACTATTTACTGAATGGTGTCAATTTGAGAGAATGCAGGTGTCACAGGGGTGGGGACAAGAGGCACACAGACGTTTGCTCTTTGGTGCTTCTGTTCTATTGGAGAGAAATGAATAGCAGACTACTAAAGGAGAAAGCAAATATGGAAATGTCAAATAGTGGTAAATGCTATAACAGGCATCTTTGAGAACAGCATTTGCACTAGGGCGTAGATGTGAAGGAGACAGCAATAGCATTTCTTAGATACTGAATGAGTATCTTTAAACATTTAATAACATGTTTAGAAATGTAAACATAATTACTGATGCACTGCCAATACCAACAGCAAATTAGGTATCAGAAAACATGTAAGTGTGAAAGTCAAGTGTGTTTAACAAGCAGGAAACTGGAGTGCTAGTGCTGATGCCCAGCAGGCACGGAACTTTGCTAACTTCATCTTGCAAAGACCCACTGGGCTTAGGTGTAAAACAAGAGTAAGGCCAGGCGCGGTGGCTCATGCCTGTAATCGTAGCACTTTGGGAGGCCCAGATGGGTGGATCGCCTGAGGTCAGGAGTTCGAGAACACCCTGGCCAACATGGGGAAACCCTGTCTCTACTAAAAATACAAAAATTAGCTGGGCGTGGTGGCGAGCCCCTATAATCCCAGCTACTCGAGAGGCTGAGATAGGAGAATCATCTGAACCCGGCGGCTGGGGCGGGTTGCAGTGAACCAAGATCATGCCACTTGGGAAAAAGAGTAAAACTCTGTCTTAAAAAAAAAAAAAGAAAAGAAAAAGAAAACAGAATAGCACCACTTGCTTTGCCGAAGAGCTGTGATGTGAGAATGGTGAGTGAGCCTGAGCCTTGCACCTGCCCTGTGACTTAGCAGGTCGCAGAGACTAAATGGACTTTAAGTCCACTTTCTCTCTCATACCTTTCACTATTGAGAAAGCTAGCTACCTTTCCCAGATGTCTCCTTGTTTCCTTTCCTTGCCCTGTTCTACTGGTGCTACCCCTAACTGATTATTCCTGAAGTCAGTTTCTGATCTCACAAAATGAAACTTAGAGCCAGTGTAAGCAAGGCACTAGCATTCCTTTGGCTAAAGAACTGGCAAGTGGTGCCAATGATAACAATGATTATCATCATTAGTTGGGAAGCTGATCTCATCTTGGGTAGTCTGCAGTACCTGCTATGTGTGAGAAAAGACACACAGTATTGTCCTAAAATATAGCAAACGTGTATTAAAGGGGGAGAGATTATACTGGGACAAGAATGATGCAATCGAAAGTCTCAAGGCAAAAAAAATTGAGGACACAATGGGCCCATTTTCTTTCACCTAACTGTAGCAGCTTCCAAGGACCTGACTGGTCTTTAAGTGAATCTCTTCTTCCATCTCTAATGATATAAAGAGGTATGATATAGCTCCTTGGAGACAAGATGGGCAGTGATGATTTCAAGTCAGCAGATTGACAGTCTCGTAAGTACTGACACTAGCTTACCTGGGTGAAGACGAGGACACCAGGAAGTCTGTAAGGACTAAGGACAGGATGCTGGGGCAAGAATAAATAAAGATAGCATCGTGGCCATTTCTGTACCATATTATAATCTATGTCCTTTAGATGCTGTAAAAAGTCGAGAGCTGGGCAGAGAGCAAGAGGCAAGAAAAAGTATAGAAGCAAGAGAAATGAATGTTCAGAAGTGATTTTGTGTGTTATTTTTGTGAATATCACTGTATGCCACATCTCCGCTACTTGGATGCTATGACTTCTAGTCATGCCATATAACAATTGCATAATTGCAGTAAAGTGACCTCCAGTCCATGTTAGTCCATGACCTGGGAATATTTGCCAGGAGTGCAGGTACAGGCAGGCCAGGGTTCTGAGACTGGCATGCTTCCATGGGGCCAGACTGGGATGGAGAACAGGGTAGCACAGACAGGTCTGTGGTGCCTCTACTCCTGGGTGAACCATCCCAGCTCAGCTCCCCCCGAAACTTCACCTCAGGTAGGAATCTCATCCTGCCTTTGCAGATCCACACCAGCTTTAGTAAAATGTGCCTTCTTCTTATAAAGGGAGTGTCTTATGTGTAGTTCCCAAATGTAAAGACTAAACTTCAAGGAGCTGAGGGGTAAGTTAGGTTTGCATAGCTGGTTGGTGGCAAAGCTGGAATCTGACCATAGACATATTCAACTCTAATGCTTATATTTGTGACTGCAGTGGTTCATCTAGAAAATGCCCCAGGAGCCCTCCCTGTGCACGGACTGCTCTCATGTGAGCACGGTTGCTTGCAGCTCTCCATGTTTCCACACTTAAGTGACCACATGAAAAGAACAAAGAAAAGCAGCGGAAAATGACATCATTTAAAATTAGGATTTACCACATTTAAATATTAACTTGCCTACAATATTGCTGATAATTGAACAAGAAAAAAAAACTGTAATGGAGAACATTAGGGAAAGACAAGGGTATTCATTATTTTTAATAAATGTGGGTATTTTGCTACTGCAAACAGTTCTTTTTCTGAACTGATGAGGTTTCCCTAACATGTATATCTACCATGAAAGACCCAACAATGAACAAATAAATCTACTGCCCATTCATAGAAGCAAACAAAACCTCACTTATTAAAACCAAGGCTAGTGAAAACATTCGTTAGTACGTACTTTTCAAGCAAGGAATTATTCACAGTTAACAAAACTATAATTCAAAAAGATTGCTACTAACTGAATCCTTAAATTATTAGCAAAAAATTTAGGGAAAATGAGAGCCAAAGTTTATAAAAGGATTGCTAAATTAATTGATCAGATTACTAATTCTATGTCTCAAATAACCATTTATGAGCTGGCTTAGTTCAAACAATAAATGATCAGCTAACTCACCTAAAATTTGTATGCTAACTTACTTGTATTTCCTACTTATTGACATCAGTCCAAGTTGATCATTAGCAGTGAGAAATATTTTATGTTAATCATGTTTACAAGAGTCTGTGCTTGTAAGAACAAACGTGACGTACTTCATGCAAGGAAGTGTCAAAACACTTTCCATCAAGCAAGGAACTATCCATGGTTAACAAAGGTATGTAGACAAAATAGGGATCTTTCCTATTAAGCTAAAAATACTTATCAGAAAAACAAAGAAATATTCTTTTGCCAGATTCCCTCTGATAACTACACTTTCCAAGTCATCTGCACTTATTTTTCATCAGAAAAAAGCCCTGCTATTCCTCTCTCCCTCCCAATGGACTCTTTTCTCTAAAGAGTTGTAGGACAAGACTTCTGCCATGACTGGTCTTTTTATTTTGTTCATGTTGTAATGTCATACAACCAGGTATGAAGTCAGTTTTTCTCTAGAGAACATTATTAGAAGGAAAAGGCTGTATAAAAAGATTTGCCATACTCACTGTCTCTACGAAGTGGATTTCACCATAACTGAATAACTGCTATTTCCATATATGGGCTATTGACTAATGTCTGCAAATAGAAAATAATCTGAGGCCCAATAACTGGTTTTGCAATTCATTGTGATACCTGACCTGTCTCTTGCTATACGCCCAGCATCATGTGGTTTTACTCTTCCTCCTAGGCAGTCGGTACTGAAAATGCATCACTACAGGTACAGACAAGGGCTGACATTACATTTAAAAAACACATAATGGATTCAGGAAAATACATACCTGATTGCACTTGCAGATAAGTGACCATAGGAGCCACTTGCTGAAGAGCTGCTACGGGAATTATTGAGAATCGTGACCAAGGAGTTGGGAGACGTCCTTATCATGGTCTGAAGGTCAAAGCTATGATCGGACAGTGGTGATATGGACAGTGTACGTTTTCGGCTCGGCCTGGCTGACAGCCTGGGGCTGGGGAATCTGGTGCCTGTTATATAAACAAAACAGAACCTAATTACCTGCAGTTGGACTCTATACCGGTTATTTATTGCTACTCGCCTACGTGGAAGAAGTGAAGGATAAGAAGCTGGCAACTTGTGGTGACACGAACCTCTCCTCCCCCATGTGATCTACCAGCTACAATTGAGGAAATTAGGGAGAAATATTTATCTTCCAGGGGCTTACCTCGGGGGAGCTCTGTTTATTAATGTGCAAGCAAAATGATAAATTGCTAAACAAAAGGGAGAGACTTTTATGTGTTATCCCTTTCATTTCTAGTGATTTATGCATCTGACGGCTGCTTAGATATTCCCATCATTAATTCACCACAAGCGACAAAGACAGTGATTCCCACACTTGCAACACACCACCCTCACCACCCCAACACACACCATTTTAAGTCATGAGCCAAAGGAAAAAAATGAATTAAAGTATCCTAAGATTAAAAATTCAGCTCAGTTACGCTCTCAGTGCCCAGTGATTTCGCGAGTTAGCTGCTCCATGGTATACTTAAATCATTACTAAAACAACTTCTAAATAATTATCCTGAATTAGTGGTTCTCAGGTGAGAGAGATTTTGCCCCCCAAGGGACATCTGACAACATCTGGAGATATTCTGGTTTTCAGGACTCAGGGGTGCTATTGGAATTTAGAGCGTAGAATCTAAGGATGCTACAGAACATCCTATAATGTAGCAGGGTCATTCTCCCCACAATAAAGAATTATCTGGCCCAAATATCGCCGAGGTTGAGGACTTCTGCCCTACATTCCCCATCATCTAAGAGGATAAATCCCAAGAAACATTTAAAAGCTGGGGATGTTGCTCGTTTACAGATTTTCCAAGGTGGAGGAGAAACCCTTGTGAGCATGATAATGAGGTACAATGAGCCAATAGGGCATCTTAACTCTTCTCTGGACCTTGTTTCTCCAGTCAGACCCAATAAGGGGTAACATATTTATTCAAATTTTTAACCTTCAGGAGGATTCCAATGATGAAGTCTTAATCTGGAGTCCAACTCTGGAGGTGAGTAACTCAAACTTAAACACATCCCAACTTAATAAAATGGTTTCTTCCCAAAGAGTTCAAAATTAAATGCCAATTTGCATTCAAATTTGGTAGATATTAGAGATCTGAATTTCAAGACAAAGAGATGAATGTGGCCCACAAGTCCATTTGCCTTTTTGAAGGTCACGGTTACCTTACAGAGTCATGAAACTAAAGTTTAATAAAAGAATACAGCATAATCCCACCAGGTAAGAGGCAAACCAAATACGATTAGTTTTAAGTAAAATGAAGGGTTTCTAACATCTCACAGAATGAGTATACCAGTTTATAGGAACATGGCAATTTTACAGTACCCAGAAAAACTGCAGTACTAGGTAATCTTTCTTAATTAAATAGATGTCCAGGCTCTTGGTCTCCAGAAAATTCTTTGGGAGTATTTTTTTCAACAGATATGGTTCTTGACAGAAGATAACAATCCAACATGCTTAGAGATAAAACGGGACAGACGAATATGAAAGACTTTATTCTCAATACTACAGAAATAAGGAAAAAAAATCCACAAGCTGAAATTTAGTAAGTTAGCGCCACCCATGCATAAAACTTAAAAACCAACTTGAACGATGAATGTGGTACCTACTCAAATTTTTCTTTCAGGC